CGTAGCATTGGCACCAGTGCGGAGAAGAATATTTACTGTGGATATTTTACCTAAACTAGCTAAATGAATGAATCTGAAATTTTCTTTACTCCAGTGATATTCGTTTTTCTTCGCCAGTCATATTTACTGATGGTTATTTATTTCACCAGCCAAGATCATCCAGTCATGCTTTTGGAGACTTATTTTCTTTCAGGAGTTTTCTTTATATTCATTTTCAGTATCTGTGGTACTGAACATACTATGTCGTTTGCAGTTTTCTATCTCTTTGGACATGTCGGAAGCTTCTTTGAACATGGACCTCCCTACAGTTGAAGAAAAAATCAAAACAGCAGAACTTGAAGATGTGCAATTAGAGGAAGTGAAGGAAACTAAACCAGCAGCAATTGAGGAAGTTGAGGACGACGATGCTCTCTTCCACTGTGATCTATTTGATGCAGAGATGGTTCAAAAGGTAGCGGATGAATTTCTCCCTGGATTGGCCTCTGCCTGTATTGACAATACGACTGGTGGTTTGTTGAATAGCCCCGCTTCTGTGGCTGTTGATATTAGAAGAGAAATGGTGGACTATCTTGTCCAGAGAAGCGAGATGTTTGTTGCAGAATCTGTTGTCTTAGAAGGTGACTCGGTTATTGAAGTGTCTGACAACCCTCATGATATTATATCTGATTTTATTGATGATTTTGCACAGTCTAAGAGGAACTTTTTCTGCAAAATTTCATCATGGATGCTAAGTGAAAGGAGAGAGGACAGGATAGATGATTTCGTACAAGAAATGGAAATGAATGGCTTTTGGTTGATGGCGAGGAGGATAACAGTGGCACAAACATCGATAAGAAATATTGACTTCAAAAACATTTATCACTGCAGTATGAGGTTCAAATCTGAAGAAGAGCTTTCGAAGCATATCACCTCGTGTGGTTTCAGGGAATTGAACTGTGAAAATGAGGGATGTAATGCTCGATTTAGTGCAGCTCAGCTGGAACTGCATGATTCAACATGTCCGTTCAAAATACTCCAATGTGAGCAGAAATGCCAAGCAACACTCATGAGGCGTGAAATGGACAGGCACTGTATAACTGTATGTCCAATGAAGCTTGCCAACTGCCCCTTCTATCCAGTAGGCTGTGTATCTACTATTCCTCAATGCAAAACAGACCAACACCGTCTCGAGAATCTTCTGCCTCACTTGACCCACATCTTAAAACTTATTCACAAGGAAGCATCTTTCGAGGCTTTGAAGAAAAGGGCTGAGCAATTGTTGGAGGTCAGTTATTAAATAGTACCATTCTCTTTCTTTGGATATATTGAACTTACATTAGTGCTTCTTTTGTTTGGAGTGTTTCTCTCTCGACGAGGCATTAAAATGTTGAGAAAGAAAAATAGAACGCCAAAATGGTAGAAATAGGAAGACCAAAATATGCACTTACATCTAACTAGTTCGGAGATTGGAGTAGCAGTGTTTTCTGTCCTGCCACTATTTTCCTTACATTATCTTAAGTTATATTCTACTCTGTGACCCCGTTAGCAACACGAGGAGATATAGTAGGTGAAGAAAAATGGTACTCTTTCCATTTCAAGTTGTTTGTCTTACTTTTCTTTTTAGTCCGTTTAAAAAAGAATGTCTCTTTCTACTTTTTGCAACTCTTCAGTTTCGACTTTAGTTTAAGACCACAAGATTCCAAAGTCTTATTTACTTTCTTAAACTTCGTGCCAAATCAAAACCAGACAAACAAATTGAAACAGAGGGAGTAATATTCAAATGGATATTTCAGACGAAAAATAGCTTTGTCACATGTTGCCTTGGCTGGCCAATTCACAGTCTAATCAAGACAAAACTGAATGTTAGAGCTATTTATTGAATCTAATTTACAAAGGTGCTTCACCGGATTCTGGATATCCTTGCAGCTAAATTTGGAAGAAACTACCCTAACCATGTGTTGATATCTTTTTTTCTTCACAAACAGGCATCATCACCTGGACGGCTGGCAGCTGCTCGTGATGCAAGATCATTAACAGTTGCAATCAAGAGTATTGATGCAAAGCTTGGCCCTTTGGAAGCTGAGGAAATTAAAGAGGACAATGCAGATGACGCTTACTTGAAAGATGAAAAAAAGGATAGCACTGATCTATCCGCCAAAAAGGATTGTTCTATTGACTTGTCTCATAATGATGAACAATCTCCACAGCTTAATTCCACAGCTTCACCGCACAAATCAGAGAGAGTTGTGGAACCAACAGTTAAAACGGATTCAACCAATGAACACTGTGAGAAACCAGACTCTAGAGATCTACCCCATAACAAAAATGACGGTTTAAAATCACCTGACAAAAGTGAAGAGTCTCTGAGCACATCTGAAAAACATCAAGATGTCACAACTTCAGCACACAAACTGGAGTCACCCAAAAGTGAAGATCCTCCCAAGTCACCCGAGAAGCATCATAATTCAACAACTTCTGAAGACAAAAAGGAGTGAAATAAGATCTTCGCGGAACAAATGATTCTCAGACTGTGATCAGCAAATCAGCACCTGACTAATGAAGATTTAACAGATTCACGGGTGGAAAGGTAAAACAGCCAAAAACTCATTTTCTATAAGTAAATGCATGTGTAGCCACCAAATGAGAAGTAGAATCCAAATCTTTGGAGGTCAAGTGCAAGAGAACACATATAGTCATTTTGTATATTGAATACTGATCAGTACCTTCAACAGTACTGATTCTCGAATTCTCAGGCTGGAAGATGGACGACAAGAAAGTAAGTACATTGTTTTAAGATTGTCTCTATCTTCATATCTGAGATGGAGCATGGCCATAGCATAGGAGATGGACAAGAATCTTTTTTGCATGAAATAGATAAATTTGCATACTAGTTTTGATCTTCTTCAAAAATGGCACAATTTTGTTTTAAATCCTTTTTTCACCTCCATACATAGACAGATATGAACATTTTTCCTGTATAATTTATCACTAGCAAATTTTCCTCTTGCTTATTCATTTTTTCTTGCTTGTAATTTCATTTGTACAAAACAGATTTTTATTTTTCCTTGTTAGTGATTGGCATTCATTTTGTTTTGGCTTCAATCAAATGCATACCTTTTTCGCCCTAGTGAATTTTCTAACACTGCTAGTCTGCTATTGCCAATTGGTACATTTTAATTATCATTCTGCTGAAAGTGATTTGTCATCGCGACCTAAGCTCATGTCACGTATTTTCCGCTTTGGCCTAGGCCCATACAAATTTGTCTTCGGTCTATGCCACATTGAGCCTCAAAAGTGTGCATATCATATAAACTTGAGCAATGCCTTATAGAGGGCTCTTACGGGGGTGTGGTCATAAAAGAAGAAATGAGAAGGAACATTGCTATTATGTGATATTATTTAAATCCGAAAGTCAATCATTCCTAGCTTTGATATGAAGGTATTGGGGAGATCAAAAGGGAGTATGTTAGTCAAATAGAGAGCTCTCATGGGGTGTAGTCCACGACTTTAGCCTTAAGCAAGGTTGGGCTACAATTCTTGTATTGAGCGAGCCCAAGCATTAAAGAGCAACGTTTAGTGGCATGCAAGAAGTAGTCGTCTTGTTGTTGATAGGCGTGGCTATGTGAGTTGTTGAAAACAATACATCAATTCATCTTCATCAAAGGCCAAGATCTAGCTACAAATGACAATAACTCTCGACAATTTCTTTGTTTTTAATGCTTCCTAATTTTCTGATTTACCGTCATTTAAGGTTTACAATTGTTTGCTTCTGCATCACACCTTATTATTTCAATCCCAACACCTTTTGGCTTTGAGTCTACATATTTTTGGTCAGGTTAAAATGTAGCTTGCTACATGTCTCAAAGCTAGCCATCAATTAAAATCATTTGAAACTTATATTGAGAATGTAGAAGAAATAAAACTTTATATTAAGGAAAGACTAATTGATCCTCCTTTTCACTAAAGTGAAGCTAAATGAGCTTCATCACCTATACTGTGAGAAACATTAGTTTAAGTTTTATGTACTGACCATTTTTAAAGTTTATACATAATAAAGTGACTATAATTTAACTATAGGTAAATCTCTACTATAATTAATTGGCAATCTAATTAAAATGGTAATTAAGTACTTTTAGGTGTTTGCCAACGATAGAAGCCGCTCAACTTCAGAATCAAGTGGAGAAAGAGGGTTAGGCCTCCGGAGGGATTTTAGAAACTATGAAAGGCACTATTTTATTTTTATTCACTCAGTATTCGATGTTCATTTTGAGGTCCGACTAATATAAATTCATGCTGAAAAGTTCTACCAAACGTAAACGGTAAACGGTATATCTGAACCTCCTTATCCGTAAAAGATAGAATGTGGAATAACTAATCCATGAATTACTAAAACTCTGCAAAACTAATACCTACGTTAAAAAAATGAATAATCCCATAGACATGAATGTTTCAAAATTTCTTCAATCAGCTTCCCAACTCACAAGTAGTTTACAAGTTTGAATATGCTTATACACAGAGATAAAGGCTGCTGGAAATACATATGGAACTTTCTTCTGCTCTACAACATTTGGAGAATCTCATGGTGCTGGTATCGGTTGTGCTATTGATGGATGCCCGCTTCGTCTGCCATTATCCGAAGCTGATATTCAACTAGAATTCCTCTTCATAAGCAACACCAATAACAACATACCCAGTGTAATCCCACAATGCAGAGTATAGTATACGCAGAACTTACCCTATCTTAGAAGATAGAAATACTATTTCTGAAAAACCCAGACTCAAGTGATGCATAATTCCTCTTCATAAGCAGAGCTGATCTGGTACAATGTTGTCTTCGATTTGTAGAGAATCTCCAGGAAATCTATGCCACTATATTTGCTCGAATTCAGCAAAGTTATAAACCAAAGTTTTTCATCTCTATAGATCTGTCTGCGCCATCCCAATGCAACAAGCTTCATAAGTTTTCCCTAAGGTGAAAATGGCCGGGGTAATCAGCTACCATCAAATCATGAAACCTTAGTTCAACTCAACTCAATCATCATCAGGTCGAACAGATTGCTCGAATTCTGGATCCATTATCACCCCATCCATAACATGTACAACAATCTTCCCTCTTCTCAAATCCACCATTTCCGAAGCAATTCTATTAACTATCAACAACCCATCTGAATCTTTCGATACATACAGAGTGTATCCCGATATTGAATCATAATCAATCTCCTTTCCAATTTGTACATCATCCGCATAAATCCTTGTTGGTACAGCTGAAAACCCGAGTACACGAGTTAGTATTGCATATGTGTCGTTCTCATTCTCATTCTCACCCAATCTCAATCCCAGATCCCGCTCAAATGCTTTTTCAGATGGCAAAAATAAAGTAAACCCCAAATCTTGAGGTAACATTCCAATCACTATTTCCCCAAACTTCCCTACTCCTCTTCCTCCATCTATTCGATTTTTCTTCAGTTTCAAACCAATCACATTTTCATTTCCTTGTGGTATTTCGTTAAGTTTTAGTACTGAAAAACACAGCACGAAAGTACAAGCAATCGAGACTACAATACATAGAAATTTGATCGGATCCTTAGTGAAATGACCTCGTTGTTTCATTTTTTTTTTTGGTTTGGTTACAGTTTTACAATAGCAAAGTATTTGGGACCTTTCATCAAAGCAATTTGCTATAGCGTTCAACCGGAACAGTAAACGGAAATCAAAAGAGGAGATTTATCGATTACCTGAAGAAGGAGAGGCTTGAATCAGTAGCAGATCTGGGAATCAAACTTTGATTTTGTTGTTAGATAGTTTTGAAGATGTGTAGCTATGGAGGAAAATGGAGGATTTGTGAACTTCTTCAAAGAGAAAGAAGATGAATTGAAGTTTAAAGGTATGGTCAAATAGTAGAGAAATGGCAAGAAAATGTTTCTTTTTAACAATTTTGGTTCGGCATAACACATAAGCGTGCTCTTTAACTTGAAGCAGATCTTAATACATGTATGTTGGGGATGGAGCTAGGATAGCATTTGCCATAAAAAAACTAGCCAGAAAGCATGTCAGGTAGGCAAGCAATAGTACAAGCAAACTAACATGCGAGCAAGGTTGAAGGGTCTTTATGACCTTTAACCTCTTCGTTGACAACCTCTCATTTGTTCGACTACTTGTGGGACCTGCTGCTTTAGGGTATAGGAAGCCCCATTCGGGAGCATAGGAAGTATGAGTTCATTAGAACCCAATAACTTTGGTTCAACTTTATAATTTTGTTGAAATATGTATCATTATATGTCATATATTATTATAAGTGGGAAATTCCATCATTCAAACTTGAATTACCATTTTGCCCCTTCACTAAATCAAAATAAAATTAATTAATTTATTAGATACTAATATTTTAATCATCATATCATATCATATATATATAAGAGAATCATATATTATTATAAGTTGAAAGCTCCAACATTCAAAGTTGGATTACCATTTCACCCCTTCACTAAATCAAAATAAAATTAATTAATTTTTTAGAAACTAATATTTTAATAATATCATCATATCATATATATAGATATAAGAGAACCTTAGGTCCGCCTACGTGGCGCCACTACAAACCAGAATTTCCTTTTAATTTATTTATTTCCTAAACTAGCCTTTCCCTTTCATGAAAAGTTGTGACTTTTATGAAAAGTTGTGACTTTAATAAAGAGTTGCGACTTTTATGAAAAGTTGCGACTTTAATGAAGAGTTGCGACTTTTATGAAGAGTTGTGACTTTATGAAAGGTTGTGACCTTTCTAAAGGGTTGCAACTTTTCTAAATAGTTGGAACCTTTCCGATAAGACACAATAAACATTTGTTTACACTACCTTTTGTTGTCTATAAATAGAGGGATTTCCTCTCATTTTAAAACAACGAAAATTATGAACTTTTTCTTCGTCTTCTTCTTCATAATTAAATATTTGTGTACTTTGCTCCTGTTGAGTGACTCACTGACCTTATTACTTATGTTACAGATCCTGATATGTATTTTTACCGTCAATAATTTATGCTTATATTATTAAGGATAAATGATAAAATGTAATAATTTTCATTTTCCTTTACATTATTAATGTTTGTAACTACGTAATCTTGTATGTAAGATAATATAATGTTTTAGTTTTACTGACTGATAGATTTTAAGTATTATTTTATAAATTCTGTGATATTAAATTCCCGCGCGAAGCGCGGGTAATTTTACTAGTATTATTATAAGTGGGAAGCTTCAACATTCAAAGTTGGATTACCATTTCGCCTCTCCACTAAATCAAAATAAAATTAATTAATTTATTAGATACTAATATTTAATTACATAATGGTGGAATATGAAGTCCAACAATTAAACTTTAATAATGAATGACTCTTTGAATTTTGAAATCAAATAAAAATTATGTATCATGATTCAATGTACTCCATTAATTTGATAGGTGAAAAGACAACTAAATATCACTATAAATACCAGTAAATTACTCCCTAGATCATCATATTCTTTTCTTTTCTATCCTCTACTGTTCTTTTTCTTCTTCTAGATAATGATATAAATACATGCCGTCAAGAAGCTAACTGAGGAAAAGAACAGATAGCTTCATTGTGAAATTAAAAAGAGAAGCTTTCTTACAATATAGTTCAAGTGTTAAGCTTAGAAGTATAAGATATGACCTACATATTCCTTTAGATCTTTTTATGTTAGCTTATGATTTTAAGTTTTTCTTTTCCATTTTGGAGTTAATATGGTTGTCCAAAATAAATTTGGTATGCAACTCATATTTTATGTAATTTTGTATCATTTTGCATTGTTATGGAATTTATTTCTTTGTTTTTGTGTTATTCTTCTTTTAAATGCTACTTAATTGACAAAACTTCTATTAATACATGATGAGTTTGATAATACTTGAATAGTTTATGCAATATGCTTTTGTTTAAATACAAGTAATTTAAATAAAGATTGCTAAAAGATTATTACTTTGAATGAAATATTTTGATTGTGTTACTTTCTCGTCTATCTAACATAGTGTTGCAAACACATACATATATTGTTCATTTTCACCTCTTTCGTTTTATTTTTTCTATAATTTATACAATATGACTTCGTAATTGATTACTATATTTTTGTATTCTTCATTTCTTCTATCTTTAGGATATAAATATAATAAAGCTAATCACATTTTATATTTATTATTAATTGTTTTGAGGGTAAGCATGTTAATTCCCATATAATATTTTCACAATTAGACCTGTAAAAGACTACTAAGTCTTTGATAAAAATTAATAATTATGTCTTCTTAGTTGTTTGATAATCATTTATCTTTTTAAAACAACATGTTTGTACTTTTTCCTTTTTATATGTAGTCTCAAATGTTTAGAAAATTCATGTACTTAACTATTGTAGAGAGGTACAAAAATTAGTGCAAAAGGAAAAATAAAATAAAAAATAATGTAAAGTAAAAAGATGACTAAATGTTACATTGAATTTTATTGTATAAGAATTCATATTTAATTCTTTTATATAAAGATCCTTTAATATATAGTTCTAGAAATATAGTGTATCTTTATTCTTAACATATTCATGCTTTCTTTTTTGTTTATCTTTTTTCTTTATTTATGATTATAGTTTTTTTATACATATGATACATTTTGTCTATAGCAAGTCGACTTCTAACAAAATGTAAATATATAATTTTTTTGTCTATATATTTTAATGTGATGTCTTTTATTATGGATGACATGTCTTTATTTACTTTTCTTTCTTTTCCGTTTGAACTTGTAATTTTTTCTATAAATTTGACAGTACACCACGTAGACATTTTGTAATATTTTTCTTTATACGTATCTTTTTTTATAGCCAATTTCTTTTTTGATTGTTAAAACTTATGTTTAGTAATTAAAATATATTAATTCCTCTGATATAATAAAACATTTATTTTTAATGAAGCATTGAAAATATCAAATCTCCAACATCTGACACAAGATTTTCATGCTATATTTGTACAGAGTTATATTCTTATGTCAAACTTATATATAAAAGGACTTAGCTTTGAACTTAGCTATATAAATTAACTTTTCTAATGCCAGTTAGGGGACAAACGTGCAATGCACGTTCCCATGACTAGTATATAATAAAATTCAGAACACATAAACTTTTAAATTCAAAATTGATAAACTTCAAATTTTGAATCAATCTGGTGTGTAATGCACATTAATATGTTGGTTCACCATAACAAGAACTTGTAAAGAAAACATTATGAATTTCAACACTTAATTGCAGTAAACAATTCATTGGTACCAATGAGGACTTGCTAGAGAAGCAAATAACAACGATATTGCTTGTATGTTCATCGTTAGAAGACAAATTTAATTCACAAAATTTATAAAATCGTAAATGTTTGTATTATACAGATTACATTACTAACAATCTTATGTGAGTACAACTTGAGTTTATAAACACAAGAAAAGCCTAAAAAATAATGAAAACGTCACAATTTCACGTTTTTTAGATGCACTTGGCTCTCCATACATTGGCAAGCTATGTTTGCTCGGACTCTCCAAAAATATTGTCATGCCTGTGATGGATCCTCCAAAAATGCATTACTTTTGGAGGATCCAACACACATCCAGTGACATTTTTGGAAAGTCCGAGCAAAAAACTGGTGATAGCTCCAGCAACAAAAGCTATATACATACCTCTGTTCAACAATATAACTCTTAAGGCATCGAGGATGACTTCTAACAAAATATTACACTCTCCAAACGTAGTTATGCCAGAAATTTGAGAAGTTATGTAGTGAGAAGTTGTTATGGCGGTACGCAAGTTGCTCGGCTCCTTTTAAAGGGGAACCTGAGCTGACTCAGTTGTCGATGACTGCAAAGGTTCCTGTAGTGCAGGATTGACTGGGAACAGCATACATTGTGCATATTGAGTCATCAACTGATCCACGAGCACCAGGGCGACCATTGCTTCCACCATCGGAACAGCTGTTGCACCAAGACATCAAATGTCCGTTTACTTTTCAAGTGTTGTTCAGAAATTTAAGGAGAAAAGAATGTTTTGAAGAGCAAATGGCTAGCAGATTTTCTTTTGTTATTTTACCAAAACACCAGTAAAGAACAAGAACAGATTGAGCTAGTCTAGCAGTCATGCAGCCTCAGTGGTTTCTAAGAGTAAACATCCTAGTACGACGAATGGAAGGGACTAGCCATATTGAGTAATAGTCAAAACAAAATCAGGCATACATACCTCGTGGAACCACACAAGGATCATGGCGACCACGAGCAATGAGTTCAGTCTCATGTTTATCCCTACTAACAGTATGTTGCTTCCTCTGCATAACAATTGAAATAAGACATATTTCATACAGAGGTAACTTAACTTGGAAAAGAAATGGAACTTTTGACAGAGACAAGGGCTCACTGCAATTGTAGAAGTTGGCTTGAATGCTATTCTCATATTAATAATTTCTCCATTTGATATGCCTCCCTGTGAAATAAATTAAACAGATAACTCAACTTGAAAAGGAAATGGAATTGTTTGTCCATTTCTAAAGACATATCCAAATGAATATTGCGAGTGTACCTGGATACCACCAGATCTATTGGTTTTTGTCCTGATTTGGTCATGTTCATCCATAAAGAACTCATCATTATGCTCACTGCCAGTCATGAAAGTACCTGTAGTTTTTCACCAGAAACAAAATAGAACATGAGATTTATCAAAGATATTAACATGTAAGAGCCTTCCAAGTTTTTTTGACATAGGACGATACCCTTATTTAAATTCAGAGAAGTGTCTAGACCTGTAATGAACAAAGAATGACTCAAAACTGAATTGGCCAACTTCCTTACTATTCTAACCAACCATGCCGTAAACAAAGTGTCGATGAATCAACTAAGATCCTTAGCACTAATTGTGTAATCCCCTTAAATCACCAGTCAAGTAACTAACACCCCCTGGACCAGCCACAGCATAGATCTAAACTCGATGCACACTTTTTTTCTTTTTGATGATAAGGAAAACCCGCAGCCGCTACCCTTTGGGTGTGCACAGGGTAAAAGTCCCGCTCCTATGCAATAGCTCGCAAACCACATAGGAGTGGTAACCCGCACTAGGCAATCCCGGTGCGACGAGCTCGACCCAGAAGGCAAATCCCTTGCTTTCGCTGGCAAGGGGTTTCGAACTTGAGACCTCCAACATGGAAGTCCCAAGCCCAAACCACTGGGCCACCCCGAAGGGTAACTCGATGAAGCACACTTGACCACCTAAAAATTTTTGGCAGTCTGAAGCCAGGTCTTTCTGTTATCTTTCCTATCTACTTCGAGCTGGAAGCATTAGCATTTCATACTCTTCAACAATGTTAAACCCTGATAATCCAATATCATCTAGACACCAGCGCAAACTGTATTAATCATAGAGAGATACTAGAATGCAGCTTCGATCTAAAGACATCTTAGGCTTTATTTGGGGAGATAATCTTGCAAATTCAGATTCCAGCAGATTAGCATCAAAATGTATGAGTAATAATTTTAGGCAACATGCTGGTATCATCTTTGTCATGAGTGATACAATGTTTTGAAAAAACAGAAAGGGGGTCATTACCTAAGTAACAAAAAGAGGGATAGGAAAGGGCACAAAAAGACCAAGGCAATCAAGGAGGTTCCGTTATCTGGAGCTCCAAGAAGAAGCAAGTAGGTCAGGCAAGATTGTAAAGGAGAAGCAGAAGAAATAGAACAGTTCAAAGTTGCACCTGGTGACAGAAGATGGATGCTTAAGTCATCAGAGCTTCATCATCGGAGGTTGTGAAACTGTCTTAAAATTGATTCTTCTTACATTTTATGCAATACTGAAGTAGATTTGGACGATTGCTTTTTACACTTAACTCACGTTATTGGGTAATTTTTGCAATTGTTTTAATTGTTTTAATAGTTTTAATTACTTGTACTTTTTTGGGTAAAATCTGAATGAAATTTTTCATAACACCTGGTTCATATTTTCATTGAACATCTGTATTCCTAACCATACTATATAGATGATAACACCGATCTTGATTAGTCTGTTTCGACTTAGGAGTTTGCTATCATCCAACAACAAGATAATAAGAAAATCACTTCTGTTTGTTTTTTAAAAAGATGGTGCAGCAAAAAGGGTTGGAAAATATTGATTGAAAATGTCTCTCAATATTTTTCTTAAGCATAGGGGAGCTTTAAATAGCCAACTTACAACAAAAAATTTGCATAATTCAAAATTCAAAAATCTAAAATATCTCAACAAACTAAAGCTAAGCAACTTATTGATGCTAAAAATTATTGCAGTAACTAAAAGTAAATTTTAACAACTTCCATGTATGAAGATTCTGTACCTGCAAAGCCACTTCCAAACTCAAAACCCTTTGTTGCTGGTAATGACATGCAAGCTTTAGCCAGCTCAGCTTCAAGTTTATCAAAGACTGGTGTACCAAGACCCTAGTAATTATCACCAAACTATCATGTGAAGGTCCCACCAGCACCAAAGACATGCACGATAACTAACAGACATACACACATACACACAGAGAGAGAGAGAGAGAGAGAGAGAGAGAGAGCGCTTACTCGTGGAACATTTCTAACAATGCAAGTTACGACACCACCAACAGAATCTCCCCTCACTCGTACATAATCAATGGCAGCAATCATCTTTTCTGCATATTCAGGGTTCGGGCAACGAACAATATTGCTTTCAATCTGGCATTAAGTGATAATTACCACAGATCAAGTTCTTTATCACCAGAAGGTCAAAAACTATCAAAGTTATACCAGAAGGCAATTGCTAATAAAGAGAACCACAAATATGCACTATATAAACTATAATACTCTCCACACTCCATGCCTTAGAGAAGCGACAATCCGTGTGCTGAGTGCATTATAAATAGTCTCTTCCACTCCACAAGGGAATGCAACAGAAAGGACACCGGATTGTTTTCCTTTTTCTTTTTATGGTACATTTTATATTTAGTATTTCCTTAATCTATCGGATGAGTTCAAGAAATTGATAGATCAAGCAACATGGTGTTTATATCCACTCTATAGGTCAACTGCTAAAGTTCATACAGAGATCCCACAGTGCATATATGGATAAAGAAATATCGGCATAGGCTCAAACACTCCTTAAAAGTTCTCTTCTGTAATTTTTCTAGCCTTATTTATTATACACTCTTAGGCAAGTAATAAAGCTTATATACAGATCCTATAGTGCAGTTTGGAGAAACATTGCCTCGGAGTCAAATCTACCCTCCTTGAAAGCTCTTTTCTATAATTTTTTAAGCTTCTAATAGAAGTGGAATTTCCTTCGTCATTTACACATATCTAACCAGTTTGTCTGTTGCGGTAATAATTCTCATTGCATCTTCCTTCCTACAGTCAACCTTAGGTCAATCCTCCAACAATCAGCATTATCTCATGCAGGATTAGTCGCCCTTTATACAAAATCAGCTTTATCTCATGCAGGATGAGTCGCCTTTCAGCCATTAGCGAAGCAGGTTTCATCCAAGGAAAGGTGAATGCAATGTCTGATTAAAGCTAACACCAATTTATGGGCTTCTAAAAGTAGAAAAAGATCCAAGCCAAGCATATTTGGAAGAGAAAATATGATCTGAAACAATGAAACACTCCTTAAATTATTTACATTCTTCTTTCCTTTCTTGAGAAAGAAACCCACGAAGATAAGTGAACAGGAAGTAGTTACTATAATCATAAATTAGTCTAAGATGTAGAATAGATTAAAGAGTGGACATGGTATTAATTTAAAGCAGAAAGAGAGCTGACATCAGAATCAAATTGGAAGCAAAATGAGTAACGAAACAATAGCATACTGCTCAGTGGCAAAAGCAAATTGAAATTTGTTAAGTCCCATATTGGCATTATCAATAAAAAAAGTCCCAAATTGGTCGACGGAAAAGGTTGTGGTCTTTTATATGGTCTTAGTTCAATCCTTCCTTGATGAGCTAACTTTTGGGTTTGAGCTAGGCCAAGGTCCATTTCTTTACATTAGAGGTAGACCCATCGATCCCTGATGTTGTGTTTCTCAGAGGAGTGTGATCCTGATGTTGTTATCATTGAGGAGAAGGTTTGCTCCAATGTTGGGTTAAGGAGTCCTATATTGAATGCAACAGATGAGGTTGTTTCATCTACAGACACATAGGAAAAGTATACTGAATGAACCTCATATTCTTATTCTGTGTCGGAATCCGAAGCTTCAACTGATGAAGGTAATGATGACCTTGAAGATAAGAATTAGTGGGTGAGTGAATCATCAACTTCTGATGACATAACAAGCGATCTTGATAATGAGGAATCAGAACACGATGATCGGAGCCAGCTTTTTTGGGCCACACAGGCCACAGCTGCTTATTTTGCCCGGACACTGCGGTTATGATTTTTTTTTTTAAGATATAGATATATAGTTCTTATGTGAAACATACCTGCTCTAGTGTCACAGTCTGGTTATCAACCAAATCCTCTGGAAGTACAACATTGTGAACTTGTGAAACATAAGCAAGGATCTGCATTACAGAATATTAGAGCTAAAAGCTACATTTCTTTAGAAAAAGCCCAAAAAAAAAAAGAAAGTAGAAGAAGCCTCCACATAATGCGACAAACAATAAAGATATATGTATATGCAACTACTGTAATAGATTCTCTAGCAACAAGAGTCAGAATAGCTAATTTTCCACCAGAAATACATAAGATTACGGTTTTTTTTTTGTTGCAATACACAGAAGTTTCAGGTTCTTCGGAACAACAAGTATGTGTATTCCATTAAGTATACATATGGGTGCTTCTGAAATCTTACAAGAGAAGACAAAATACAGGAACTACGCTTATCGGGCCTACCAAAAAGCCTCTACTAAACCACAATCATATGATAGTAACCCACCTCAGTGCTTCATAATTAACTTAGAAGTCCAATTTACATTCTCTAGATGTTTAGGCTGTATATTCATCTAGAACACAACATAACTCTAATGAACATGACAGTTGATTTTATTTCTTCATAATGGAGCCCAACTTGTTATTAAGGCATTGATGATCATTAATGGATCAATAATCGCTGAAAAAGAAGTGGATCTACAGTTTTTACTATTTAGTGTTTAGTTTGTGAATAAAAACTGGGATAGGGGATGGATTTGAAAAATTGATATGCCTTTAACATCCGTGCAACACTTCAGGGGAGCTCTTTTCAGTAACAATTTATGTAATGATACAAAGAATATCATTCAGAAATGAAATTAGAAAACCTGTAATAATAAAGTACCTCACCTCAGTTCCTGAATAAAGTTTGAGAATTTTCTTGGCAACAGCTCCAGCAGCGACTCTCCCGATGGTTTCTCTTGCTGAAGATCTACCGCCCCCCTGCATGTTCCACTAACACTAGTAAGGACACAAGAAATAGTAAGAGCTATAACTACAGAGAATTGCTTATCAACAATCTGCAAAACTTTCTAATAATAAATGAGCTCCTCTTTGACATTACCTGTACTGATCTTACTCCATACTTGAAGTCATAAGTTGCATCAGCATGAGATGGCCTATAAGCAAGGGACATTTCACTATAGTCCTGGCAATCCAACAGGAAATGAGAAATCTGTCAAGTACCAGGAGACCACAGATTTTGACACAAAAAAAGAAAAGAACACATACTAAGCATAACATCTTCAATCATGAGTCTCAGATTAGGCTGCAATGTTTCTCCTTTTCACTTCAAAGCTATTTGCCAATTATCAGGATGCAATGCTCTGAAAAGCTCATTTCACTTGTTTTGAGTTTCAAAATACGCATGGTTCATAAAAGCACAAGAACAATTCACCAACTTTTAGAGGAATCATTTCAAAGTCTCATGCATGCAGAATTCAACCTCTGAAAGAATGATGAGTGGTACTAATACTCACAGTTACTAATGCTAAGAATGTCATTACTCCATGCCCTTAAAGACAATAAACTTGACATGCCAAGGATGTGAAGTTAGCATGTTCTTGGAAACACTCAACTTAACTAACCTTAAATTAACTTTCTATGCACAATAACACAAGGTTAGCACACTTAATTTTTCTCAGACAGATTAGATATCGTGTACCTTAGCACCAAGCTAGTAAATCAAGTTCGTCCTGTTGCGTGCAAAGTCGAGTGATAAAACATATAGATCATTGTAAAAAGTAAATTGTTGTTTCACTTCCTCTCCTGTATTTCAAAACAAATCATAGCATACTTACATTTCCTCTCTGGTCAGTGTTGGGTACTTCAACTTTGATTGGAGATCCCGTAGTCAAACCTATAAATTAAGCAAAGATAGAAGCTGCATCTTTAAATGTAAGTCAAAGGAAGTGGCACAGGCCAGAAGAGACTTTAACAGAGGACTAACCATCGGCAGTGCCTGATGATATTTTGCAAGTATCAGTCTCTTTTCTTGGTGTGGTAATTCGGCTTTGACCTGGCCTCCTGAATGGATAAGTTTTGCATGAAATTCAAATTTGGCCAAAATAGATTCAAAGTATCCTTCTATTTAAATTTTTTTTCAAAGTATCCTAATGAATTACTCCATCAATTATCTGAGATGGGGGTGTCAAGAATGGGCAATACATGAAACAGTTACAAGAAATGATAGAAGACCAAGAATTTTGAAGGACTTCAATGTATTAGTACACAACATCTTCACTGATGCTGGTCATGTCAACCCACAAAAGGAAATCTCAGAACAAGTAAACACCTCCTGTCAAGTTCCACTTGCATATCCGACTCTGAGAGTGGGAGTCGAGGGGGACATCCATCAATTATACAACCAACACCACCACCGTGAGATTCTCCAAAAGTTGTAACGCGGAAATAATTTCCAAATGTATTACCAGCAGCCTGTATCTCTGCGAATACAAAAGTAGATAAAGAAGTTGTCAATCCATTCTAGCAACTCAAGAATAAACCCTTAAGATCGACGAGGAAACATTTTTTTAGTTCACTTTCAAGAGGCAATGGTACTTATTTCCACTTGAAAATTTTAACTTTTTGTTCCCATATTGCCTGGCAACACTTCTTTATTAGAAAAGTACAGTATTTTGTAGAGAATGGAAACAAATATTCCCTCCATTTCGATTTGTTTGTTTGATTTTGACTTGGCATGAAGTTTAAGAAAGTAAGAAGACTTTTGAATCTTGTGGTCTTAAACTAAAAATATGTAGAATGTATCAAAATGTCTTTTCATCATGTGGTCTTAAACATGTCACATGAAAAGTTGGAATTAAAGAGTTGTCAAAAAAACAAAGGGACGTTCTTTTTGAAACATACTATAAAAAGTAAGACAAACTAATTGAAACAAGAGATAGTATTTTAAAACATTGACAGAACCAGATAACAGATAACAGATAATGAAGATGAACTGAAAATCATAGGCCACCACAGTTGAAGTTAAATTTTTGACCAAGGAAAAAAAAAGGTGGTGATTTCATACATGGTGGAATCATCACAGATACAAAAAACAGTACGAAACAGACATCAACTTCAAAGACTTAGGGAATCTTAGTAAGTTGAACTACGAGCTTTTTAACTACAACAACTTAAATATACACTATTAGAGCTGGAATTACCGCGGCTGCTGGCACCAGACTTACCCTCCAATGGATCTTCGTTAAGATATTTAGATTATACTCATTCCAATTACCAGACTCATGGTTTCAATTCCCCACCTTGTAATCCCCACCCATTTCCCCTTCCCCTACCCCATTTTTTTTTTTAAAATAAAAAATTTCCAAGACTACTTTTTTTTCCTATTTTAATGATCATATTCTAATAAAGTTTAAAACCCATTTCTTAATTCACACAAAAAGCATAAGAAAAGATGGAAACCTCAAATCAAGTTCATTCAGACATTTCAACAAACAGATGGATGGCAGAAAGTTTCACCTAGTCGTTTGGGCTGTGATCGGTGAGTTGGGAATCGGAGGTTTGAAGAACAGAGCTTGGATGGTTGCTGCCCGGATCCGAGGCTTGAAAACGGAGCCCCGAGAAACTGTTTGGTAAGCAGAGATGAAGCCATTTTCCTTCCTTCTCTACTGGAAATTTTGGTTGGTGAGTTTAGGTATAGACACAGAACTTTCAATACAGTGATCACACTCTGTTTGGTTAGTTGTTAGTACTATTATTTTATACTAATATATATATATATTTTATTTTTTTTTGTTTTTTTTATGATTGCACTGTGTGTTCGGGTCATCTTTTGTGTATCTCGACTAGTCTTACGAAATGTCTATCATCTCCCACTAGTAACAGTTCCACCTAACTATGTCTGTTAAGGCTAATACAAATTAAAAGAATCACGAGACCTCATTACATAATATAACATAGCAATAATTTGAAGAATAAATCACAAAGAAACATGGGATATGAGATGGAGTTAATATAAAAAAAATTAGGTAAAAATAAGATAATCATGCGATCATACTAAATTATATTATTCTTTATCCTATCTTTTTCTATAATATCTTTATTACATACCTTATAGTATTATTGGATGATAATATATAGTGACAAAAAATATACCATCAGTTCCACTATTATATATACCATAAACATGATTTTTAACTTATATTTATATTTTTCAAAACTTTGAATATACAAAATAAGTATAAAATTAAATTAGTACTACTTATCTGAAATACAATTGAACTGATTTGTATTTTTATTATACAGGATGCATATATGCCACTTTGATCCTAATGGTAACTTTGAAGTTCATTCATTATAGTTGGATTGTGGGACCATAGAAAGATCATATAATATCTTCCAAATTCCAACAACCCAATCATTTTTATTTTTCATTTTCCCCCATCTAAATACCACACAACAAAAATTGGATATTATTATATTGTTCTCCTCATCACAATGAACAACCACACAACTAATAAATTTTGTATTGTTCTTATTTTCTCTAAATATTTTATCTTGTTCTTCACTTTTTTGGTTCCATTATTAGCACTTATAACAAAATCTGAACAAGTTGGATGTGGATATATTGTTAGATCAGTAGGCGTTGACTCATCTGGAAGGACGTTGACTGCTTATCTTCAGCTCATCAAAAGTTCATCTGTTTTTGGAACTGACATTCAAAATCTCACCCTTACTGCTTGGTACTACTAATTTTGTAAATAATTTTCTTTTATATTGTCTATCGGAAACAACCTCTCTACTTCCTTGAGAGCTCGACGAGGCAGTAGTAAGGTCTGCATACACTCTATTATCCCCGGATCCCACTTAGTGGGATTTCACTGTTGTTTTTTGATTTTCATTTTACATTACATACTTATTTATTGAAATGTCATCAATTTTGTGAAGATGTTTGGACATGAATTTAGTCATATTTGAAGAAAAGTAGTACTATTTGAAGGTAATTTGGGAAAGGGGTATTTGGAATTTGAAGTTGTGTTTGGGTTTGTATTTTCATGAGGAAAATGTTGATGTTTTGTGGAGAACTCCCTCTGTTTCAATTTATTTGTCTTGTTTTAATTTGGTAATTGAGTGTATCTTTTGAATCTTGTGATGTTAAACATGTTACTACGCACAGAGAGTTGATATTAAATAGTTACCTAAAGCAAAGAGACATTTTTTTTGAAACAGGCTAAAAGAAAGTAAGACGAACAAATTGAAATGGGGAGAGTACTAATATTGGACTGGTTCAGGTGTTTAGATGAAACTCCGCGAAGTAAAGGGGGCGGCTTGTTAAAAAGGGACAAGTAGGGGTGTTTGTCAGGCTATTTAGCCTTTTTTTTGTAGTTTATTGCTCAAATGGGCAAGCAACTACTATTGGAGATCATGTAGTAAAGTTACCATTCTTTACTTTGTCACAGAAGTGTCACTTGCCATTTCACATAAAAAATTATTCCAGCTTGGATTTTATTACATGCTGTTTCCTTTGCTTCGGTTACTGTATTGTTTGTTATTGCTACTGTTCTCTTCTCCTATACTTTTATCATGACTTTCCCTCACTGTTTTATTTACTTTCCATACTTGATTTTAATATGTTTTACTTGAGTCGATTGTTTATCGGAAACAGCCTCTCTACCTTCACAGGGTAGGGGTAAGGTTGCGTACGCACCATCCTCCCTATACTTTACTTGTGGTGTTACACTGGGTATGTTGTTGTTGTTTACTACGTAATTTTCAACAGTTGTGTCCTTTTTAGTGTCAAAAGATCTTTTTAGTTTATAAATGGACTGATCAGCCTTTTCTTGTTTCCATGTTGATGGATTCTGCAGCTTTGAGACGAAAGACCGTTTAAGAGTCAGAATTACGGATGCTGATCATGAAAGATGGGAAGTTCCTCGAGAATTTATCCCCCGGGAAACTCATTTATCCCCCCGAAGCTCCCTCTTGGAAAAGCGCTCTTCTACCTCACTTCCATTATCAGAAGACACACACTACGTCCATACAGACACCGTTTCGGACCTTACTTTCACTCTCTACAACACCACCCCTTTTGGCTTTACTATCACGCGTCACTCCACAGGTGATGTTCTTTTTGACACCACACCTGAAAATGACATTCCGGACACGTTCCTCATCTTCAAGGATCAGTACCTTCAATTGTCCTCTTCATTGCCAGCCAATAGGTCATCTATTTATGGTCTCGGGGAGCATACCAAGAGAAATTTTAAGCTCAAGCATAATCAGACATTGACTCTTTGGAATGCTGATATTGGTAGTGCTAATGTTGATCTCAACTTGTATGGTTCCCATCCTTTTTACATGGATGTCAGGTCTCATCCTGGCGCGGGGACTAGTCACGGAGTCTTGCTGTTCAATAGCAATGGCATGGACATTGTATATGCTGGTGACAGAATTACTTACAAGGTGATTGGAGGGGTCATTGACTTGTACTTCTTTGCTGGTCCTGTGCCAGAGTTGGTCATGGAACAGTACACAGAGCTCATTGGCCGCCCAGCACCCATGCCATACTGGTCTTTTGGTGCGTAATTATACTAGCGAATTACCTATTATTTCATAGTGTTTATTCTGGTTACTAATTTCATATGACCTTAACTTTTGAATTTTGTTTAGTACTTCCCACTTAATTTCCTCAAACTGTTTGATTCACATGCTTCTTCATGATATTAAATTATTACTCCCTCCGTTTCAATTTGTTTGTCTTACTTCCTTTTCAGTCCGCTTCTTTCCTTTTTTGGCAGCTCTTTAATTCTAACTCTCCGGATGACATGTTTAAACCTCAAGATTAAAAGACATTCTGGTACATTCTACATATCTTTAGTTTTAAGACCACAAGATTCAAAATCTTCTTTACTTTCTTAAAATTCTATGCCCAGTCAAAACCAGACAAACAAATTGAAATGGAGGGAGTACTTAAAAATGTGCACAATTTCTAGTTGTGTCAAGTACTCGTTAGTGCAGAGCTCAGTTATATAACATTTCGTGATCCTACCCCTTTCAGTACTCATAATGGGATGTGTAGAGCTTTTACTAGTTGGGAATATGAGGATTGAGTTTTCTTTCTACAATATATATATGTATGATTTGAGACAGATAGATGCACACATTGTTTTTCATGCAAGCTATTGCAAATTGTTGGCGACAGGATTTCACCAATGCCGTTATGGTTATAAAGACATTACTGAAATTAAGCATGTGGTTGCTGGATATTCGAAAGCTCAGATCCCTCTTGAGGTCATGTGGACAGATATTGATCATATGGATGGTTATAAGGATTTCACACTCGATCCTATTAACTTCCCACTTGACCAGATGAAGAAATTTGTTGATACACTTCATCACAATGGTCAGAAATTTGTTCTCATATTGGATCCAGGTGAGTTATGAGTTATAACATATTAAATTCTTGCTTTTGTTGATATTTATACGTCTGCGGAATTAGTGTCAGGGTAGGCTACCTACATCATACCCCTTATGGTGCAGCCTTTCCTAGACCTCCATGAATGTGGGATGCTTTGTGCATCGGGCTGCACTTTATTTTGTTGAATTTATGCTTGCGTTGAGAGATAGCGAAGGTATTGGGTCAAATGATTTCAGTGATTTGTACTTCACAGGGATCAGCATAAATAGCTCATATGAGACATACAAGAGAGGGATGCAAGCAGACGTTTTCATCAAACGCGATGGTGTCCCTTATCTCGGCGAAGTTTGGCCTGGAAAAGTCTACTTTCCTGATTTCATAAATCTCCGAGGCAGAGTCTTCTGGAGTAATGAAATCAAGATTTTCCATGACCTTCTCCCCATCGATGGGCTCTGGCTTGACATGAACGAGTTATCTAACTTCATTTCTTCTCCTCCGAGCCCGTCTTCTACCCTTGACAACCCTCCTTATAAGATCAATAACTCCGGAAGCTTACGTCCAATAAACGAGAAGACTGTCCCAGCAACATCAGTACATTTCGGGAACGCCTTAGAGTACAATGTTCATAACCTCTACGGATTCCTGGAAGCTAAAACTACCAATGCTGCTTTAATCGATGTTACTGGTAAAAGGCCGTTTATACTTAGCAGATCAACCTTTGTGGGTGCTGGGAAGTACACGGCACATTGGACCGGAGACAATGCAGCCACATGGGATGATTTGGCTTATAGTATTCCCGGCATTTTGAATTCTGGATTGTTTGGGATTCCCATGGTTGGAGCTGATATATGTGGCTTTGGTAGAAATACTACTGAAGAATTATGTCGCCGTTGGATTCAGGTACAAGTTCTTTTGTCTTTAAAGAAGCACTTTGCTTGAAAGTTCATGATTTCAGTCAAGAACAAATGTGAAACTTGCAGGAAAATATTTCAAATTGGAAATCTTGGTTCAAACTCTTTGCTATGCCTTGTATCAACTTGAATTAGCCAAGATTAAAGAAATCGGAGAAGGCATGACTAGTTAGAAGTGCCCGGTCTTATTATATGTCTAAGCTAAACTTGGCGGTCTATTTAATATTGATACTCATTATATGGTCGGTTATTATTGCATATCAACTTGTGGTCACTGTCCAAAACCCAGAATCGTTATCTCATTAAATATAAATCCTAGATCCGCCTCCGGCTACCATGACCTTAGAATTATGAGTTCGCAACTGGTCCAACGAGTCTTGTTTTTCTGCTAACAGTACTCGTAGATTACTCTTGTAGTTTCCTGTTATTCTGTTTCTGTTTATTTAATGTTCTTGTTCTTCGATTATCATATTATTTTGTTGTAGTTACTCTTCTTTTTTTCAGTATGGTCTGTCATGCTTTGTTTATTATTTTTTCCTGGCTTCTCCACTCCCACTGTTTTCTTTTTTTCTGAACTGTTTTGAAATGCTTTTACTTGAACCGAGGGTCTATCGGAAACAATCTCTCTACCTTCCACTGCAAACACACTACCCTCTCTAGACCCCACTTGTGGGGTCACACTGAGTATGTTGTTGTAGTGTTATCAAATTAATGAACAATGCTTGGCAATATGTTGGTTGTAGTGCTTTCCTTACAATACTCATACAGAAGATGAAGTTCATATGTTAATTAGAGATTTTGTCTTCGTATTTTTGAGTAGAATACGATTTGAAAGTGTATTAGAAGAGAAGGTATGTATGGCTTAAACATGTCATGTGGAGATATCTATAATATCTGTCTTTCTTCTCATTTATTGTTCTATTGCCGTTTCTATATTCTTTGGTTTTGATCTACGAAAACGAAATTTTAATTTTCTATTCAATTCAAAATTCAAATTGAAGTATGATACTTTTCTGATATCTGATAATCAACGTCTCGTCGAATGTAGCTAGGTGCATTTTATCCCTTTGCAAGGGATCACTCTGACAAGTTCACTATCCATCAAGAGCTATATATCTGGGATTCAGTAGCTGCAACTGCCAGAAAGGTGCTCGGACTACGGTATCGTCTCTTACCATACTTCTACACGCTAATGTTTGAGGCACACACCAAAGGCGTCCCTATAGCGCGTCCTCTTTTCTTTTCATTTCCCGAGGATACAAACACTTACACCATCGACACTCAGTTTCTCATCGGTAAGGGGTTAATGATATCACCAGTACTGACATCTGGAGCAGTTTTAGTTAACGCGTATTTCCCATCTGGTACCTGGTTCAACCTCTTCAACTATTCAAACTACGTGAATATGAAGTCCGGTAGCTACATCAGTCTAGATGCGCCTCCTGATCATATCAACGTGCACCTCAGGGAGGGAAACATTGTAGTGATGCAAGGAGAAGCAATGACAACAAGAGCAGCCCGGGATACTCCGTTTGAACTTGTTGTTGCCATCAACAACAGGGGAAATAGTTCAGGGGAAGTTTTCTTGGACGATGGCGAAGACGTTGAAATGGGAGGAGAGGGAGGAAAATGGAGCCTAGTGAAATTTCACACTAATGTTGTGAATAAGAAGTTATATCTAAGATCAAATGTTGTGAATGAAGAGTTTGCTTTGAGTAAGAATTGGAGAATACACAAAGTGACTTTTCTTGGACTGAAAAATGGGGTGAGTAGAATAAGAGCATATAATTTGACTTCTAAAATTAGAACAAAAATTGATAAAAGTGCATTTGGTGTTTTGGAGATGAGAGGTCTATCAGTTCTTATTGGAAAAGAATTTACTATTGAGCTAACACTTGAAAATTAATTATCGGAAACAACTTCTCTACCGTATAAAGGTAGGGGTAAGGTATGTGTGCATCTCACCTTTCTCAGACCTGACCATTCCAAGACTCAACTTGTAAGACTAGACTGGATGTATTATTATTGTTGTTGTTCATGTAATTCAAACTACAATATTGTTCATCAATTGAGTCAATTGGAAAAAGTTGTTAAGGTTATTGCCATGTTATAATAAAAATATTCTAGTTGTATTATTGTTTGTTAAATATTTGCCTTTGTGGAATTTGGAGAAGGTAGAGCTATTAGTCTATAATTTGGACCGAGTTCATATATACCCTCATCGTCTAATAGATAGAGCACATCTTCCCTTTTCGCTGAGGGAAACCTATTTATCGAATAAAAAAAGTCACGTGGCTTTGAAAAAAGAAGTATACTCATTTTTTTTGTCTACATAGCAGGATCTTGAACATGATGATCGAACTCAACTAAAAGCATCACAAAATAGGTATATGATGAGAAAGAACGGTCATATCATTGTAAGTAGAAGAGTAATAATATCCTTTAATCTCGTGGTCTTAAACATGTCATACACATGTAGAAAGTTAGAATTTAAGAGTTCCCAAAAAAGAAAAGAGACAGACATTCTTTTTAAAACGGACTAAAAAGTATGACAAACAGATTGAGTATCAACTTACAACTTATAAGAAAAAAACAACATTAAAAGAGATTCTAACTAACTTCTATGTTTCCAAAAATGTGTTCTTAATTTTATTAAGCCTCTTGACTACATCTTTCATGGTTATCCTTGATTCTGGTGTTGCCTTTGTGCAATCTAAAGCCAGTTCTATCATGGAAAGTATGCAGAGTTCACTTTTGGAAGTGATTTTTTCTCCACCATGTAAAATATCCGTGTCCACAACTTCCATCATAGTTCTTGGAAATGCTTGCGTTATCCACTCTCTCAAGCCAAGATTTTCATCGAATATCTCTTCACCTGTTGGCCTTCTTTTTGCCAAAACCTCCATCAACATGATGCCATAACTGTAAACATCACCACGAGTGGACACTATTCCCTCCGAGCCATATTCTTAAAAGAACGAAAATGAAAAAAGTATTACTCAATTACTCATCTGATATAACAATAATGAAAGGTCTTCAATACATAAGTGAAAGGGAAAGAGACTAGTATAGTAGTATACCTGGTGCAATATATCCAAGAGTGCCTAATGTCTTTGTATGTGCCATAGACTTGCTTACAGCTAAAATCTTTGAGATGCCAAAATCACCAACACGCGCCACCATATCTTCATCCAAAAGAACGTTGGCTGGCTTGAGGTCACAATGAACTATAGGGGTGTCATTACCGTGATGTAGATATTCAATTGCCATAGCTACATCAAGCATTATGGTGACTCTTTGACGAAGGTTTAAGTGGCGATCTTCTTTGTACAACCAATTGTCAAGGCTTCCGTTGGGCATATATTGCAGAACGAAGGCTCTTATGTGATCACTAGAACACGTAGTGATCACCGAAACAAGATTTCTGTGTCTAACATTTCTCACCACTTCACATTCAGTATCAAACCTTTTGCATACTTCCTCATTTTCCAAATCCAGTACCTTTATTGCAACCACAATTCCACTAGGTAATGTGGCTTTGTACACAGAGCCAGAACCTCCCACGCCAATCAAATTGGATTCATCAAAATTGTTTGTTGCTCGTTGAATCTCATGATAAGAAATCAATTGATAAGTCCTCATCTCCGGAACCTTTTCAATATCTTTGGACTTTCCTTTCTTCTTTCGTTTCATTATCCAAATTGAGACAACCAACAAGAATATCAGAAAGAATGAAATAACCACCGGAGTGACAATTTTTAGCACAAGCCTCTTCGATTTTGGTTGTTGTTGTTCAGGAGTAGTGACAGCACAAGCAGGAACCTCCAATATTTGCCTTCCACATAGACCTTTGTTCCCGCGAAATGATTGCAGGGTGGAGTTTGCAAACACACCACCACTAGGTATTTCACCTTCTAAAACATTAAACGAGACGTTGATGCTTGTAAGGTACAAAAGCTTTTCGAAAGACTTAGGAATAGTACCTGACAAGTCATTCAAAGACAAATCCAAGAATTCCAAGCTTTTCAAGTTTGAAAAGGATAATGGAATTGGACCTGAAAACGAATTGTTCGATAAGGAAAGTAACTTCAAGTTTTGAAGTTCCCCCAAATTGCTTGGTATCATCCCTGAAAAGTGGTTACCAGAGATTTCAATTGCTACAATAGCTTTAAGTTCTCCGATATCTGATGGAACTTCTCCCTCTATAGAATTACGCGACATGTTTACATAGAGAAGACTACTCATCTTCCAAAAGCTTAAAGGAAGCTTTGATTCAAACTTGTTAGAACCTAAAAAAAGGTGTTGTAGCATGGTAAGACTTCCTAGACATTCCGGAATCACCCCCGAGAGCTCATTTTCAGACAGAGCTAATCGAACCAAATTCGATAAATCACATACTACCTCTGCTATATCCCCCTGCAGTTCATTGTTAACTAGAAATAAACCTTGGAGTTGTTTAAGCTTACCGATCTCACGAGGAATGTTTCCTGTCAAATTGTTATCTTGAAAAACTAGCGTTGTAAGACCACTCATGTTGCCTGTACTAGTGGGAATGAATCCATTGATTTGTGCATCTCCAATATGAAAGTATTCAACAGTAGATGAAAGATTGCCAATACTACTTGGCAGAACACCATTCAACGGATTCGATCCCACTTGTACATATCTCAACATCCTACATTTCACCAAAGAATCAAAGAATCTCAACTCAGTAAGTTGATTATGATGTAGGAAAAGTTCTTGCAGCTCGCGAAGATTTCCTAAATCATAAGGGATACTGCCTGTGAGAAGGTTATCTGATAGTTCCAATAGCTCAAGATTGGTAGCATTTGTGATGTACCGAGGAATTTCACCTTCGAGCTGATTGTTTGCTAAGAGAAGTTGTATAAGGTTTGGAAGATGAAGAAGATTTGGAATTCTACCTGAGAGGTTGTTGAAAGTGAAAGCAATGAATTCCAAAGAAGATATGTTGAAAATAGCATTTGGAATTTCACCTATAAGATTATAATTTTCTTCGAAATTGATTTGTCTTAAGTTTGATAGCTTTCCTAATTCCAGAGGAAGTTCTCCCTCCATGTAATTGTTTCCACAATGAAGTTTTTGAAGAGTGGAAATATTGCCTAATGAAGTAGGAATTGTTCCATCTATTGCATTATAACCGATATAAAGCTCTTCAAGCTTGGCTAAACAACCAATATTTCTCGGTATTTCTCCAGTTATGTTGTTGTAAGATATGGACAAGACTTTGAGAGCTTTGAATTGGCAGATGTTGGAAGGAATGTGACCAGTGATTTGATTGTATGATACACCTATATGCTCGAGGTTTGATGAAAGAACATTACGTCGATCATCAAGAAACAGAGGACCTGAAAGGCTATTGTATGCCAGAGACAAGACGAGAAGGGAGGAGATATTAAACAATGTTGAAGGAATGGAACCTGTTAATTGATTACGAGACAACGACAACTCTACAAGTTGGCTTAAATTACCGATCTCCATTGGAATGTTGCCGTTGATTCTATTCCAATTCAAACTGATGTTCATCAACTTTGAAGCATTTCCAATAGAAGGAGGGATTATACCTGTGAGGGTATTGTTCCTGAGATTTAAGACTCTGAGTTCGGGTACATACCATGTACCGTTCCACATTTCACCACCGAGTTTATTGAAAGCCAATGAAATGATTTGAACACTCCGGTGTTGAAATAGACTTGTTGGAATACTACCTTGGAGCTGGTTGTTCTGAAGATCAATCACTCGTAAACGAGGCAAGTGGCCAATGCCATAAGGGATGTTACCATGGAAGTTGTTGTTCGCGAGATTTAGCTCTATGAGAAAGGATAGATTGGCCAAAGACGGCGAAATTGTGCCTTGAAGTTGCAAATTAGGAAGAGTCAAGGCTACAACCCTTGGCCTTTTTGGACTACAAGTGACACCAAACCAAGAGCAAAATGAAGTATTTTTGGTCCAATTATTGGCTAGAAAATGACTAGAATCACTCGTAACAAGATTTCGAAAAGCTAATAGAGCTTCTTGATCAGTCTCATTGGAAGAAATAGTAGCTGATATAGAAGAAACAAAGTAAAATTGAACTAAGATAGCAAGTATCAATAAGAAAATGTGTTTCTCCATGATGTTACTATGCACTGGAAACATACTACTATGAAGAGAAATGGAAAAAGGATATATATTGGAAAAAAAGAAAATGAATGACTCCACTTGAATTATTTCACAAATAGACGAAAAGTTATCGTCTTGTATCTCTGTTTTGATTTATCTGACATAGTTTGACTCGACACGACATGAAATTTAAACAAATGTATGACTATAATGTAAAGTCAGTAAACTTGCATTATTAAGAAAGAAGAAAAAGAGTATATATTTATATGGTTCAGAATCAAAGTCAATGAGAAAATAAGTAGCAAAAGGGAAAAAGGCTATTAGTGTGAAAACACATTAAAGGAGGAAAATAAGTAACAAAAGGAAAAAAAGAATCTGTCCACTTCCCTTGATTAGTTCACACTACTTTTTTTTTTTGCTTCTAACTCTGTGTCCAACTAATCTGAATTGACTTTTCATATAGAACTTTTTTCATGGCATGTTGTGTGGCCTATCTTAGAAATTGAATTGACTTGCATGTGCCTTACATTCATTTTCTTACTAGCTGTAGTAAGATTAGTATGGACCGCTATTCGAAATCTTAGTGAAACACTGCATTTCTTATCTCAGACGTTTTTCTTGAAAAATACCAATTGAAGTGGTACCACAAGAATAGTTTAACATCACAACAAAATGCACTACTCATCAACATCAATTTAGGAGACCTTTTAGCTAACTATGATGGAGAACCTCACATTTTTTTGGAAAAGGAACGTATATTTCAACTTCTCAGCTTATATAGAAATTATAATAGAAGGTGGTGGTTGAGTTAATTTGTAATATATAGAGGCTTTAAATTGAACACACATCTATTCGTGAAAAAAAAAGATTTTTTTCCAGAAGAGTTATCTCTCGTGTTCAATAAATATTAGGAAAAATGACTTTAACCATAGGGTTTCTTAGAAGACTTTAGGAGAAAGCTTCAAAATGTGTCTCTAATCTATCGTTAAGTAACTCGTAAGTAACAATATTTTTTGATAATCCATCGTTAAGTAGTATTACCGATGAATTTATATAATTAGCGACAGAAGTTGTCCATTGCTAATTCCTTCTTTTTTTCAAGTAGTTTAAGTAATATCATTATCCTAAAATTGCTTATACCACATCTAGAAAAGTTCAATCAAACTCGGAATAAAATAATCCCGTATATTATTCCAAAATTATCATCTCGTATCCTTGTAGCCAAATGAGCCGCAAGATTTAAAGTTATATAAATGAAGTCCATTTGCTTAGGAATTAATAACTTATTGTACCACCAAAGCTAGGGCATCTCCAACCCTATTCTCTATTTTACTATTCAAATATAAAGTTTTCTATTTTTTCAGACAATCAACTCCAACCCAATTCTTTATTTTACTCTCTAAAAATGAATTTTTTTTCCCTTTCCTCAATATTATATTATTATTTCTATTTCAATTTTATTTTCCTATTTCAAATAATCACCCCTATAATCTATATAATGTTCATGTAATATAAAATTTTATTCTTATCAAATTCTTCATTTAATTAAAAATTAATTTTATTCTAAGTTTCTCAATAACATAAATTGCAACAAATATTATATATAATACATATAAACGAACAATTCAAATCAAAATGAAATCATTGATGAAATACAATTACATAGTAAATATTGCATCTTTGAAAAAGTTATTTTAAATTTTACATAGATATTCAACTTTCAAGACTATTATGTTTCTCCCATAAATGCTCTATTAATGCATTACGGAGTTCAAAATGAGTAATCTTTTGTCCTTATTTTATTTATGTATAGCTAAAAATTGTTTAAATTAACAATTTCATTTGTATATTTCGTATACTAATTTACTTCCCCTATTCCATTTTGAACTATTGCATCAAGTATTTTCGTGCTCATTAAAAAGTGTAGTTTAATAATTTATCACTATAACATAAAAGTGGATTGTTGGAATTATCATGTAAACTTTGTGCATTCTTCATAGTGAAAAGTAATTACATAATTTTAAATTACATATTTAAAGTGACAATTTTATTTTTTTAAAAAATCAACTTAGAAACATTGTCAATTCGGGATGAAAGTAGTATACTTATCAATAATATGTTTTTAGATATTATATTACTTAGAAAATAATTACAAATATTAGACAATTAATTAATAGTCTTATATAATATAAATAAAATTAAAATAATTTTAAATTACATATTTAAAGTCCTATTTAAAAAAAAAATAGAAAAATTATTAATTCGGGTGGAAGTAGTAATTTGTCAATAAAATATTTTTAGATGTTATATTACATTAGAAAATAATTGCAAATAATAAAGACTTAATTAATGATATCATAGAAATAATAAAATAGAGAGGTGAATAATAGTTCTCCAAATTTGGAGAACTACTATTCACCTCTCTATAAATTGAGTATAGAGGGTAATATAGAGGGGGGTTGGAGTGGACATTCTCTATTTTACTCTCCAAATATAGAAAATGGAGAGTAAAATAGAGGTGGGTTGGAGATGGTCTGAAGGATGTGATATAGTGATTGAAGTTGCTCTTCCCTCAACCAAAAGTCTTAGATTCGAGCCTTAGCTATGAAAAAATCTTTAGTAGAAAGCCTTCCCCCGAGTGAAGCCCTATGCGGCGTGAATCAGATTAGTCGGGCTCCAATATGTTACAGCGCACCGGATTGAAAAGAAGAAAAAACACCAGAAAACTTGTTGTCTTTCACTAGTAGTCATGGTGATGAACAAAGTTATATATAGTTGCCATGTTCATGGTGCTTTTGGCCTTAGGTATTTCAGGCCATTCTTCCAATATGTTCAGTGACCATATGTAAAATTAACCCGAAAAAAGTTAGAAGATCAAGCAAAATTGAGGACTTTTATTATAGAAACAAGTACACAAGGGTTCCCAATGAGGAATAATACAGGAAAACTAAACTACAAATAACAACTTTTGAATTCAAAGTTCATCTGAACTATAACCATTTTGAAAATGGCAGCCTCCAATCTTTTTTTCTCAAGGGCTGTAATACTTAGAACTCGAGACTATGTAAACAAAAGGCCGCCGCTTACTTGGGCAACCCAGTATCAGGGTGGAGGAGAGCTTGGCTGTCATCACTTATCAAAACCGGACCTCTACCAGGTCGTGTGCAGATGAAGTAACTAATTTCGCCTTTGTATTTCTGAGCTGGAACCTTGTCTTTGATTTCTGGAGGCGGAGGCAACGCTTCAATGTCCTTTATATCCTGAATTCCAATATCCTCCATTAATGATTTATCACCGATGACGTAGCTGGATAGAGGAAGAAGCAGTTAGTATGATCATCGATCAATACCATATGGTCTAGAACAATTCATCCTATGGAAAAAATTGGAAACTTTTGATAGTGAATGTACCTGTTTAGATCAGTTTCTGAATTTGGAGGGAAGTGGAAAAGCAGCCTCTGAAGCAGAAGTGCAGCGGATGTTCTGTTACGTGCAATTAGGACAGCATTTGGCCCTGCGTCGAAAGTGTATGCAACCTGGCAACATTTATTATACTCGGTGACAAGGCCAAATACATTTACTAATGCAACTGTAAACCTACTTTAGAAGTCAAATAGCAGGACATTAGGTTTTCCAGACCCCAATAGTTCATAGTCAAACACTCAAATTGTCGATCAGTACCGAGAAAAGGCTTGAAACGGATAGATTTTCTTGCTTCACATGATATGGAGTCAAGATCTCAGTTGTAACAGATATTATGAAGTAACCGGAAAGCAGTAACCGTAAAACCGGCTCAAGATCAGGGGTAGTTCAGTTGGAATATAATCCAGTTTGCAGACTCTTCAATAGGAAGGTAGATGGATTTGAGGAGAGAGATGCAATACATATTTAAAAAATGAAACAAAAAATTCCAGTTCAGAAGGATAATCACTATTCTCTTTCAAATATCTAATATCCATAACTCTAGCTTAAGTATTGAATTCTACGACAGATTTCTCGGGCATTCTCAAAACTTACCACCGAAAGAGGGATTGTGAAAAATAGGGGTGTGACAAACAAAATCATGCAAGTATGCATTAGCAAAAGGTTGTGGTAAAGTAAAAAACCTGTGGAGTTCCTTCTGAACGGTTCCATTTCTCAACACAGCTGATTATCCTGAAAATTAAACACACCATCAGGACTTATTTTTCCTATTATCGACATTAGTAAGCAATCATCAAGTTCAGTACTAGTATTAAGAATAAGAAGTTCCGCACACTTCATGTTAGTGACTTGAAGTTAAGAGAACTTGCCTATGAGATGTGTCGTTCATGTAGAATATAGGAGGGCTAGTATCCAGGCAGACTGCATGAAACTGATTGCTGTCTGCACAAGTCAAATGAGTGAAAGTTGCAAAATCACGTTTTTGTATGGCTTCTTCCATCTGAATAATTCGCTTTGGCACTACTTCCTAAAAAATCGAATATAAGATGAAAAATTATACTTCGAATACAACTCTCACCAGTTGAACAGAGGTTAAATAAAGACCAAGTGAACATGTGCTGGAAGATTTTGAGGACACTAATTGAAGATGCAGAATCTAAATGTAATCAAGAGTCCAGAGTCCAGACAAATGAAATACCTTTGCCCTGTGTTCTATAAGTGCACTGGTTTCAACAGTCTCACGCATTCCGGAGGTGCTACTTGTTTCCTTCTGCCGTGAGCACACCTGAATATACAGTGATTCAATAAGAAGCAAATCTTGTTTGACATATGTATTTTATTGTGGAAAAAACAGAAAAAGTGTCCCAACGGTCAGTATTTGTGTGATTGTCTTTGTCAATCCGTAGTGAAGAAGAATGTACATATGAGTAGAGAGGGAGGAGGGGACAGCATAAAATTTTGAAGAAATGACATGGAAGTATAAGTTGAAACTTAGAAGTGATGAAACTATAAGATGGCTGATTAAACGGAAAATAAAATAAATTAAGGAGCGGGTAGAAGTACATGAGTAGATTATACGAATTGAAAAACCTTCATAGTGTAAGTTATAGTAGGCAGGTCAGGGTTTGTTGAAGGACAGAGTACTGGGCCTCCTCTTAAGCCCAAATCACCAAAGCCCACAATAATTAAAACAGCTGAGCCTTTCATAGGTAATATCCATACTCACCCAAAGAATACGGGCCAAAATCAGGATCTCCTCGTCATTGCTGACGAACTTGAGTCCATCAGAATCATAACGGAAAAGCAGAAAGAAGGAAGAATAATGCAGTGCGTGGAAAGACAGATTGTTCAAGGGGAAAAGAACATAGTTGGAAGTAGTTCCATGGAAATTGAACCTTGGGAAGGAGAAGAAACACAGGAGAGTAACCCTAAGCAGATGATGTATTACAATGAAATAGAGCCATTACAAGTGGACAAGTCGATCAGTGAGGAAGAAGCGAAGGAGAAAGCGACATTGTGGATACATTCAAATGTCATTAAATTAGGGAAAAAATTTGGGGCAGCTTTCCAGGGGTGCGAAGACATAGCATATGAACTGATGTTAAGGATTGATCAAAGGAGAGGAATGGAACAAAACAAAAAGGGGAATGAGAAACAGGTTAATTCAAAAGCTGTAATTCCTAAAGAAATTAGGAATTTAGCTTTCGATATGAAATTCAAAGAAGGGGAGCCAAGAACAAGAGGGAGAATCTCAATGAGGGTTGGTCATGAAGATAAATTTTTTATCTTGGAATGTTAGGGGGTTAAATGGGGAGAGCAAAAGAGCACTTGTAAGAAATTTGTTGCTTCAATGGGGGCCTGACATTCACATGTTGGTCGAAACTAAGCTAACAAGGAATGACTCAAATCTTTACCAACAAATCTGGAACAACAGATGGTTGGGAGAAGCTCATGTAGAAGCTATTGGAAGGAGTGGGGGGATAGTAGTGCTATGGGACAAAAAAGTTTGGAAGGGGGAAATGGTAGACAGTGGAAATCAGATGCTTACTTGTAGATTTGAGGGCATAGAGCAAGAATTGACATGGCATTTAAGTGCAATTTATGCAGACTGTGATAGAGGGGAAAGGAGGGAACTTTGGTGGGAATTGACAGCCATTAGAAGCCTTTTTGAGGGACCATGGGTAGTATGTGGGGATTTCAACATCACCAGATATCCAGAGGAGAGAACCAACTGCCAAAGAATCAGTGGGGCAATGACCAAGTTTTCAGAATGGATCAATGACATGGAGCTTGTAGACCCTCCTTTATTTGGAGGGTCTTACACTTGGAAAAGGAGTGAAAATCATGAGAGTGCTTCCAGAATAGATAGATTCCTCTACTCTTCACAGTGGGAGGAACAATATCTACACATCAAACAATCAGTGATGCCAAAACTGGGATCAGACCACAACCCCATCATGCTTACAATGTGGAGATATGGATTTCAAGAAGTCATATTTTAAGTTTGAACAATGGTGGTTGGGAGTGGATGGTTTCAAAGAGAGGGTAAAAAATGGTGGGCTTCTTTCAATGTAACTGGGAGCCCAGCATACATCTTGACTACCAAACTAAAACTCCTAAAAGGGAAATTAAAAGAATGGGGGAGGGAAAACAAGAATAACTGGAGACAAAGGAGGGAGGACATCCTGAACCAAATTACTGGATTAGAAAATATCATGGAGCAAAGAGCACTCACAGTTGATGAATTACTCCAGAAGGTTCAGTTGGCAATGGAGTTTGAGGAGGTGATCAAGAATGAGGAGATAGCATGGAGACAGAGGTCCAGAATCCAATGGTTGAAAAATGGAGATAAGAACACCAAATATTTTCATAGAATGGCCACAACACATAAGAGATGCAACACCATTGACAAAATTGAAGAGGAAGGGACATATATCACTGATCCAGAAGTTATCAAGATTAAAATACAAGACTACTATCAGAATCTCTACAAAGAGACAGAGACATGGAGACCGAATCTAAACTTACAAGACTTCACAAGCATTAACTTGGAGGAACAGATCTGGCTGCAGAGACAGTTTGAGGAGGAAAAAGTCTTAAAAGGCATCAATCTTTGTGCTAGTGACAAGGCACCAGGACCTGATGGATTTCCAATGAGCTTCTTCAAAGAATTTTGGAGTGTCTTGAAAGAAGACATCTTGAACACTATGAAGCATTTCCATGAGTTCCAAGTTTTTGAAAAGAGTATGAATGCCACTTATGTGGCACTTATCCCAAAGAAGAGTGGAGCTACATCACTAAGGGACTTCAGACCAATAAGTCTAATTAGTGGGATGTACAAAATCATAGCTAAAGTGTTGGCTGAAAGGCTCAAACAGGTGGTAAACAAGCTGGTGGACAAGCACCAGATGGCATTTATTAAGGGCAGGCAAATCATGGATGCTGCATTAATAGCCAGTGAATGTGTGGACACAAGAGTAAGAGGAGAGAAAGCAGGCATCATGTGCAAACTTGATTTGGAAAAAGCATACGACCATGTAAATTGGGGGTTCCTTCTAAACATCTTAAGACAGATGGGGTTTGGAGATAAATGGTTAAAATGGATAGGTTTTTGTATTAAAACTGTCAGGTTCTCCATTCACTGGATAAGGGGATTTGAAGTTAGTAGCAGGGCAGGTGTGAGTATGGAGATTTGCCAACTGTTGTATGCTGATGACACTGTAATCTTCTGCGAGGCAAAAGAAGACCAGATTAGATATATCAGAGTGATACTTGTGATCCTGGAAGCTGTCTCTGGTCTAAGGGTTAACTGGAGGAAAAACAGTTTATTCCCTATCAAGGAATTAGCACAGATGCAAAGATTGGCTAACATCCTAGGGTGCAAGATCGAGCAATTCCCAACAACTTACTTGGGAATGCCTCTGGGAAGCAATCATAAAGAACTACTGATATGGAATGGGATAATCCAGAGGTCAGAGAAGAAGTTAGCCATGTGGAAATCTCAATACTTGTCACTTGGGGGCCGACAAACATTAATAAATGCAGTGCTGGACTCCCTCCCCACTTATGTCATGTCTCTATTTCCCTTACCTGCTAAGGTGCTGGAGAAATTGGACAAACTTAGAAGAGACTTTCTTTGGTTTGGAAACAAAGAAAGGAAGGGGTACTATCTAGTTAACTGGGAAACAGTGCAGCTACCTAAGCTCTCAGATGGTCTTGGAGTTAGGAATCTTCGAATCCATAATGAGTGCCTCTTGATGAAATGGCTGTGGAGATATGTGAAAGAAGAACATGCTCTTTGGAGAGAAGTTATACATCACAAGTATGGCCAGGACTCCCAATGGTGTACCAAACTACCAATGAGGTCACTATACCATATGGAGTTTCAACATGGAAAACAATAAGATCCTTCTGGACCAAACTAGCAGGAAACATCAAACTCAGAATAGGAAATGGAGCTAAAATACTATTCTGGAAAGATGTTTGGGTAAGACATGAGGACATTAATGCAATCTTTCCCTGACTTATTTTCTTTCTGTAGCAATCCAGATATCACTCTAGCTGAGAGTTGGGAAAATGGTTGGGATATATCTTTCAGGAGACATTTCAATGACTAGGAAATAGATAGGGTGGCACAATGTTACATGTAATCAATGAGTTTAATGGTTTTGCTGCAAGGCCAGACACAATCTCGTGGGTACACTCTGAGGATGGAAGATTCACAGTTAACAAGCTCTATAAGAAGGAAATGGGAACTCAACAAGGCCTCAGATTGGCTAGATGGAAATATGTATGGACAAGCCAAGCACCAACCAAGATCAAATGTTTTGTATGGTTGGCAGCTAAGAGGGCTTGTCTGACACAGGAGGTACTGCAGAGGAAAGGTGTACCACTAGTACCAAGGTGTTTTCTATGCAATGAGACAAATGAGACCAACAGCCATCATTTTCTACACTGTAGAGTCACAGGTCAACTATGGTCTCTGTTTTTGAGGCTCACTGGTAACAGCTGGACGATGCCAGAACATACTGCTGACCTGTTGAGTTGCTGGATCAGGAGAGGAGGCAGTAAAAGCCAAAAAAAGTGGTGGAGAATTATTCCAGCTTGCATATGGTGGTCAGTATGGAAGGAAAGAAATGGAAGATGCTATGAGAACAAATCAAACTCCATACAGAAAGTCAAAGAAAATTGTATTGCATATTTGTATTTTTGGTGTAAACAGGAATGTATAGAGGAGGTAGAGCAACTAGTAGATATGTTAGGATCTTTGTAATTAGCCTTCCTAGCCCCTCCTCTATGTACGAATTTTTGGAGGTCACCAGCATATCCTTAATGCTGAGGAATACAACATTACTAATTTCAAAAAAAAAAAAGAAAAAAGAACAGAATACTAGCACAATATTAATTTCTCAATCTTTTGGAGAAACAATGATAATGTGGATGGATAAGTACATACCACAGCAATGATGATAACAAGCTCATCCCAGTGTTTCTCATCAACAAGTGGAACAGCAATGCTATCGCTTCCATTTTCCTCCTACAAGTAGCAAGGGAAATGGATTTCAACAATGCTGAGAAGATAAGATATCTATCAACGGAAGCACAAGACAAGAACTCATGAAGAGGACGTACTTTTCCCATTACCCACTTGACAAATCCTCCACATAAGCTTCGACATGCACTTCCTGAACCTTGCCTGAAGTGAATAAACAAAGTTTTCATTTTGACTATTTATCTGACTATTGAACCTCAGTTATCATAGGGTAACCTAATAACAAGACCAATGGAACAGAGAAAAAAAACATTATCAGTAGACTTCATAGGACCAATGAAATACATACCAACAAGCTAACAGAACTACTACGACTGATAATTTACCTTGCTATTGCAGAAAGCCTCCCGTTGTCCTCTTGCACATTCATTAACTTCGCAAGAGAATAAACTACATAGATGAAACAGAAATTAGTTGTACTCATTTTCGAAGTCTCGGATAATTTTTTTTAGAGAAAGCATAGATGCATGAAGAGGAGAGAACTAGGTCCAAAAAAGCAACCGAAACAAAGCTTGAGGAAAAAAACTAATTCAATGAGAAGGGTATTGATGTGTGAGATGAGTTAAAATGGAATCATGTTGGTGAAGATTCATATAGCGGACCCCAACTTGTTTGAAGATTCATAACTGTTTTAGTGTAGTATATTATACACTTATCAACACAAAAATCATAAGATGGGCTCACTTAGATAAATTGCTTACTCATTGTCATCGAAATTTCATTATATATTTAAACGAGGATTTAAAATGAGAATATGCTAACAAAAGATCAAATAGAATATTGATGAATATTTACCTACTTGTGGACACAAATATGTATCATAGGTGAACCGAGGAAATCTATTACCAATAACTAGTCCAGTACATGAATTAGAAAGGAGGTTGTAACCCAAAGCAGCTCAAATGCACAGATATAATGCAGTACTTTATCACATAGCTAAAGAATGTATTAGTAAGCAAAAAGTATTCTATTAAAAATAAGCTCTATAGTTTCGCTAGCAAGTCCATTCTTTACTGACTACTTACAAGATATGACAGCTAAAATAATAAGTTCACAGAAAAATAAGTTACAGGAGAAAGGAAAATAGTAAAAGGAAGCTCTGATCGATTTGAATTTGCATCGTACTATATATATGGGTGAGAAACTTAGAAAAACATAATAGGGGCTCGATGTAAGCTGTGTGAAGGGGCTGATGAAACTCTTGGGCATCTATTCTTTCACTGTCCAGTAGCAGCTGATATATGGGGACAACTACTAAAATGGCAGGGAATCATAAGACCTAGTTGGGACTGGCCAACGGAGCGTGTATGGATGGAACGTCATTGTGGAACAAATGGAGCTCACTCTATCATTTATCGAATGGCCTTAGCTGGATGTATATATCAAGTGTGGCAGGAGCGGAACCAAGTCATATTTCAAGGAAAGAAACGAACGTTGCCTACAATTGTGAGATTGATAATCCAAGATATATACTACTGTGTTTCCAAGAAGCCTAAATTAGCTAGAGTTTTGTCCAAGCTTAACTTCTATCCTTGCTAGAGCTAATAGGTTGTAAAGGAGTAAGGGTGCTCACTCAGAACTGGGACTATATCCAGTGACTGTTTGTTTTTGTTTACTTAAGCATGAGTTCTCACTTTGGTAATAAAATTTCCATAGTTACCAAAAAAAAAAATCCCATTAGCTAAACTATTCTGTCACTTAAAATTAATTTGATCCTCAAGCAGCATAATAGTTTATGGATAGAACCAAAGGTGAGGATAGAACCAAAGGTCACTCCATGAGAGATGCACCCAGAAAAGATAAGTGCGGAACTTGAAATAATGATAAAGAATGTTATCCTATATGCATTGTACAAGCTAGAGAAGGTACCTAAAACTTTGTGGAACACTCTGTTTGCTTTGAAGTCAAATCACAGATTAAGATACAGGCAAGCCCTAAAAGATTCATTTCATATGTTGTGGACTCCGACGACAGCCCATATTATTATAAAAAATAAGGTAAAATAAAAGAAATTCAAAAAGATTTGCAGGCACAAGTTGTGTCATATATACATGAGCATTTATACAAATGCTCATCAGAGAAGGACAATATTTTCATCTCCTGCAGCCATTAGGAGGACTCAATCTAACAGCCACTAAAGATCAAACAAACGAAATAGTGAAGCGACAAACAAATTCAGAATTCAAGTAACAAAGAAATTGTTAGCAGTACCTAGGCAGGCAAAACCAGCAGCTGAGGAAGCCAATCCCGCAGCAGTAGGAAAATTATTATAAGAGGCAACATGCACGTGCAGATTCTCCCAATCCTTTTTTGCGATCTTGATACCCTTCTTCTCATCCTCAACATCATTAGCACGAGCTCGAATTTCCCTGAGACAGTTCTGGTATCTGCCTCCAGAGAGGGATATTTCCTAAAAGAACCAGCAAAAGAAAAATTAGGAAGGATCAAAGGATAACTCCAAACAAAATTAGACAAATATTTACACTCTTAAAGAACTAGTCCTTTCCAAAATCACAAAAATTAATAAATCCGCACTAAAAGGCGTATCTGATTACTAAAGCAGCACATAGTAAAGGAAAAATCATGCACTTTCTCTCTCAACGCCAAAATGGGAAAAAAGGTAATTTAGTTGCTTCTTCTGTCCCAATTTATGTGACACAATTTCCTTTGAAGTCAATCTAACCAGAAAGATGCCTTTCTTTATTTTTTGGTTTTCCATCCGGCACCTGCATTGGGGCCCAATTGATCCGGATTTGTGTCGCATAAGGTCATTTAAGGAGGAAGCGCTCCCTAACCAAAAAAAACTTTCCATACCCAGGGGTTTGACCCTGAGACCTTTGGTTAAGCGTGGAAGGACCCTACCATTCCACCACAACCCTAATTAGTTCATTTTTCTATATCTAGTACTCCCTCCATTTCAATTTATTTGTCCTACTTTCTTTTTTAGTTGCGTTTTGAAAAGAATGTCCCTTTCCGTTTTTGGTAGCTCTTAAATTCTAACTTTCCACCTACATGTTTAAGACCACTAGATTAAAGAGTATTTTGGTATATTCTACATATCTTTAGTTTAAGATCAAAAAATTAAAAAGTACTTTTTTACTTACTTAAACCTCGCGCCAAGTCAAAACCAGACAAACAAATTGAAATGGAGAGAGTAACAATTTAACTTTAAACTTATTTTTACCCTTTAAAAATTTGCTTAGTATCCACAAAAGGTTTCCAATTTGTTTTAAACCACAATTTTCAAAAGTCTCTCTTTTTTCTCTTGAACTCTGTATTACGTCAAACACCCTCACTTAAATTGAGATAGAAGGAGTAACAAATTCCAGCAAAAATGAAGACTTTCAGTATAAAATGGAAGAGCTCAGTTCCCTATACCTTATTTAAACCTCCTTCATTCTACTACATGTAGTCACATGCAGCTAAAAGACACTTTAAATCAGGGCGGAGCTAGTAAGGACTCAGGGGTTCATCGGATCCCCCTTCGGAGGAATATTACATGTTTATATATGATTAAAATGATTTTTTCTGCATACATAGTATATGTTGAACCTCTTCGACTTCCTCATCTTCATATTTTTTTCACCCTTAATGAAAATCCTATCTCCGCCAGCTTAGAATGTTGCACTATTAAACCATATCAGCTTATAATCTTGCATGTAGCAGCTAAAACATTTAAACTCATAAAAAACTACTCTTTTTTCCAATATCACAAAAATTAATCAAACCCCATTAACAAATAGTAATCAAAATCATAAAATCACACTTAAAAAATATTTTTTTTTTACCTTGCCATTAAGCCACATTCGATCTTGATTAAAAGCAGGACTAACAGCAACAGTAGTAGTAGTACAAAGATGTGCAGGATCAAGAGTTACACTAATACTATCATTAATTGCAAGAATTAGGTTTTCATCTCTTTTTCCCCAATATTATATAACAGCAATGTTAGTGGGTGTTTGTGCTGTTACCATCAAAACCCTTTTTTGAGATTCATCCGCCATGGCCAAGAAATTGAAGAAGAAAAAAAAAGAAATTTCGGCGATTTGGATCAAAATTTGTGAAATTTATTTGATATTTTTGCTACATATTTATACATTTTACATGATATTCATATGTATGTATGCTTATAATATAGAATAAAAATATAACCTCCTTAATTGAATAAAAATGTTTTTTATTTTTGTTTTATTTCTAGGCAGCACATTTGTGTGTTTGGGGTCCATACTTTTGAATAGGCTAATTATTTTGTATATTTAAAATCGCAGTAAAAAATATCCATGAACTATTATTTATTTATTTGCGAGTTTTATATCTTAATTATTAAGTATTTTTATTTGAATAATTATTAATTATTCGGGAGAAGGTGTGAGTAGCCTCTATGACATACAAGATGAAGGAAGCGAGATTAAGATGATTTGAGCATGTGGCGCATGTGCCAAGGAGGTGCATCAACATATCGGTGAGGAAATGCGAGAGGCTGATTGTAGGGGTACGCTGAGGGATAGGGGTAGGTCAAAAATTATTCGGGAGAGGTGATTAGGTAGGACATGGTGCAACTTTATATTATTGAAGATATGACTTTCGATAGAAAGGAGTAGAGGTCGCACATTAGGATAGAAGGGTAGTAGGGTAGAGTATTGTTTTCTTGCCTTGCGAGGTTTAGTGCATGGTGTAGGACTAGCCTTGCTCTTATAGTTCTTGCGAGGGTAGAGTATTGTTTTCTTGCCTTGCGAGGTGAAAGAGGTTATTAAGTTTAATTCTTGTATTACTCATATTTTACTTTATTTTAAATGAAAAAACAACATTAAAAATAACAACCTTTTCTTCCAATTTACATAATTTTCAACTTCGAGAAGTCCATAAAATTCTTTTGAAAATTCTACATGATTAAATTATCTTTATTTTATTTTGAAAATTCTATAATGATTAAATTTCTTTGTTCATTTACTTTTACTATTAGAAATATATGGCAACACGTACTTTATTTTGACAAATACAATGATTAATTTATCGTAATTTGTTTGGTTTGTTTTCTTCGTTAAAGAGGTCAATTGTTTTATTCAAAAGCTTTTTTTCACTTGTTGAATTTTAAATAGAGGAAGGTAAATGCAACTCTAGTTTTTAAATATTATTTTTTATTTTGAAAACAAAAACAATTTTTTTTTTCTAAAAACTCATATTTTTCATGATCAACGCCCCCTAGGTTTTAGTCTATTTCCAAGAGGCAGAGGAAATAGAGTTGCATAAACTAAATGGAGATAATCAACAAGGGTTGTGATGACGAAAATCTGTTTCATGTAGCTTAAGAAATTTTGAGTCGTGGGTACAGGACATTGGTAACTACTTCTTCATCCTTAACTCGCGCAAATTCAAATGAGTTAGATTCTAATGTGGATATCGGACACCACCGAATGAAAAACCAAAAAGAAAAATGGAGATAAAGTATCAATCTTTAACCCTTTGATCAAAGCCAAGCCAACCAAATGATATAACATTTTCTATTATTTCTTCTTTAGAACCAAACTTCAAGACAAATACAAGTCATATTACTTGGTACAATAACACAATAGATGATGAAAAAAGAAACATTACAAAGGCTAGTTATTCTCACATACCCTTAATTAACTTATACTTCAAACTTTAATAATTATTATTATTATTTTTTAAAAAAGAGATTATGTATAAGGAGTAGCAATCAAGTAGAGATCTTTGTCCCTTCTAGCAGTCATTCCATTTGCCTCATTCATGTCCAAATCTTTTGGGTCCATACCATTGGGAAGTGTCCAATCAAAGTTGTAAAGCAAATGGGCTAAAGGCAAAGTAACAAGAGCTAAACCAAATAGTCTTCCTGGACAAGTTCTTCTACCAGCACCAAACGGAAGAAATTGGAAGTGAGTTCCGCCAAAGTCAACTAAACTATTCTCGAATCTCTCTGGTATAAAACTTTCTGGATCTTTCCAACTTTCTGGATCTCTTCCTATTGCCCATACATTTACCAGGACTTTACTTTTGACCGGTATGGTGTATCCGTCTATCTCTGTTTCCTCCCTACATTCCCTAGGGACTAATAGAGGAGTCGGAGGATGTAACCTTAGTGTTTCTTTGATCACCAATTTTAGGTAATCCAACTTCTCAAGGTCATCATCATCAAATGTTTTCTTTCCCTTAAAGACTTCTCTCACTTCGACTTGTGCTTTGGTCATGACACTAGGACTCTTCATCATTTCTGACAATGCCCATGCAACCGTTGAAGATGATGTATCAGATCCTGCTACGAACATGTCCTACACATGACCATAGTTAAATTTCATCAACAAAGTCATACAATTTACAACTCTTCTAATGAAAAAGACTAGATCATAATAGGATTGTATATATATATGTTCTTTTTGCTTTTATGGACCATGGTAAAAAAAATACAAACAAATTCATCAAGATTTGAACTTTGTGGTAATTTGTAGACCGACCCGTCTATGGTCGAAAAATTAAAGAGTAAGAGATAGTGAACTTACAAGAATTACAGCTTTGATGTTATTGTTTGTTAGAGTAAATGGAAGTTCCCCTGTCCCCAAGACTCTAAAGAAAACATCAATCAAATCTTCATTACTTCCACATTCAGCATTGCATTTTTTCCCATTTGCATGATTTTCTCGATGCACATCGATAACTTTGTCCAACACCACGTCTACCTTATTACGTGCCTCAATTAATTTAGACCCCATCCCACTAATCCCACTAAGAAACTTCTTCGAAGGATACAAATCAGCCAGCTCGAAACCTCCAGCTAAAGATAACACTCCATGAATCAAACTTATCATCGCCTCATTTTGATCTTTACACGCTTTCCCAAATGATGACCTACATGTCACAAGAGTTCATAAACCAAAAAAGTTTTTCTGACACGTTGATGGGCATGTTCTCCATCGATTTAATAGACGATACGAGGCTTGAGAGCTCGTCTAGTCCAATCGGGCTAAACGATTTGACCATCTTAGCACTGAGGAGCTCCATGATGCACAATTTACGCATGTGTCTCCAGTATTCACCATATGGAGAGAATGCAATGTCCGTACAATCATAACAAAAGATCTTTCCCAACATGGTTTGTGACCTTGATGCAAAAGCGAGGTCATGAGTTTTCATGATTTTTTGTGCCATGTGTGGTGACGATACGACTATAGTGGGGACTTCCCCTAGTTGTAAGTACATAATTGGGCCAAATTTTTGTGACAAGTTTTTGAGAACATGGTGTGGTATTCCTTTTGTTAAGTGGTGCACACTACCAATAATTGGTAACCTCCAAGGTCCTGGTGGTAATAGTTTTTTGTTATGACTTTTTTTGGTTTTAATTCTCAATTTGTGAATTAGAAAAAAGAGGAAAGAGATAAAGAGGAAGAAAGTAATAATTTGTTGAATCTCCATTTTTTTTTTCACAACACAATTAAGAGAAGGTGAAGTGATTTTTTGGATTGATCAATTGGTTTGAATTAAAGGTAGCTAGGTGGTGGTATTTATAAACTTGATTTTCAACAAACAATTCACATGGTGTAATCAATATTTTTATTACAAGTCAACGAAACAATGATTTCTTTTTCAATTCAGTCCAAACAAAGGGATGAGCTGTATTTAATAGGAATGAATAATGATATTCTAATTGTAAGGTGGAAAACCAAAGAATGAAGATATTTAATAAATGTACTTTCTTATTTTACTAGTATGGGAGTGGGACATTATGTTTTGTTATGAATAATGATATTCTAATTGTAAGGTGGAAAACCAAAGAATGAAGATATTTAATAAATGTACTTTCTTATTTTACTAGTATGGGAGTGGGACAACATTATGTTTTGTTAGTTAAAATATAAAGTTTGTTTTGATTGTTATTTAAATTTAATTATTATTATCGTATCGTCAGATTTATTGTTGTGTAATAACAAAAGGCTCCATTTTATATAACGATCGCTCTGGTATTTCACATCATTACCGATTTTTTTTTTTAACTTCATGTTTGGTTACTATATATATAACAAACATATTTTTTTTATCTTACCTTTTATAATAGTTTTACTCGTATTTTGCTTTTCTTGTAGGTTTATCCTTCATATTCTTAGTGTGTAATATTATACACAGACAAAAAATAATGCAATCTATCCAAATATTATATTTATCAAAATAATATAATAATTAAAATATAATACAATACATTATAAAAGGATATATATACTAACGATCTAGAAACTCCTCAAAAGAGAGTTGAGTTAGGAGAAAAAGACTACCACTTAGCCAAAGGGGAAAAAAATTACATGTACTTGTCATTTACATTGGGAAGATAAATTCAGAAAAAGACTACCCTACCCCCCTACCTCCCCCCACCTCCTCCCCCCTTTTTTTTTAACCCTCCCTAGGAGCTCCCTCCCTTTTGCTTCCTTGGTGACTCGAACTCGCAATCTTCGGATTGGAAGTGAGGGTGCTTACCATCCGAGCAACTCCCTCTCGTCAGCCCTCCCCCCTACCCCCCTTATCCCAAAAAAATGTAAAAAAATATATATATATATTTTTTTATCAAAAAATATAATAGTTTATAAGTATATTTCCTTATGGAAGCAAGCGATAATGCGTTGCTTAATTTGTTTAATTGCCGAAGCTTCTAAAGGTATTTGACTAAACTTATTAGTATATTTTGGATTAGATATACGTTTAATAAAATATAAAAAATGTTTATCAATCAAAAATCGTACGTTTATCAATTTCAACGGAATAACAAAGAAATGTATTTGACAATGTGATGTGCGTTTTTTAATTATAAAAACTATGAAACTTGAAATAAAAATTAAAAAAATATACGAACGTCATTAAATTAAAAAAATATTAATGCCAAAATAATTGGGTTCCCAAAAAGGCAAGAACTCCGGAAGAGAATTGGTTAGTCGTTGCTTTGTTTACTTATTATAGAAATTATTTTGTAGGAATATTTTTTATATCAAACACACCCTAAGAGAAAAAGAACAAGAAATATTTGTAATTTATGAGTACTTATTTCTTTTACCTAATAAG